TATGCCTTTCTGAGTGAGGATTGATTATCTTACCCATGGTCCTCCTTCCTACATAGCTTCTTTAGGTGTACAGATTTTAGTATGAATATCCTATATTATTTGTCTAATATCCACCTATAAGTGAGTATATAGCATGTGTGTGTCTTTCTGCATCTGGGATATCCCACTCAGGATGATATTTTCTAATACCCACCATTTGCCTGCAAATTTCATGGTTTCCTTGTTTTTAACTAATGAGTAATATTCCATTGTGTAAAATTACCACAGTTTCTGTATCCACTGCTCAAATGAGGGGCATCTGGGCTGTTTCCAGATTCTAGCTATTAAGAATAAAGCTGCTAAGAACATGGCTAAGTAAATGTCCTTGTTGTGTACTTGAGCATCTTTTGGATATATGCCTAGGAGTGCTATAGCTGGATCTTGAGGTAGCATTATTCCTAATTGTCAAAGAAAGCAACAGATTGATTTCCAAAGTAGCTGTACAAGTTTATATTCCCACCAGCAATGGAGGAGGATTCCCTTTTCTCCACATCCTCTCCAACAAATATTGACACCTGAATCTTTGATCATAGCCATTTTTATGGGTGTAAGGCATAATCTTATGTTCTTTTGATTTGTATTTCCCTGATGACTAAGGACATTAAACATTCTTTTAATTATATCTCTGTCATTAAACATTCCTCTGTAGTGAATCTTCTGTTATCTCTGTACCCCATTTTTAATTGGTTTACTTGATTTGTTGCTTTTTAAATTCTTTAGTTCTTTATATATTCTGGATATTAGGCCTCTGTCAGATATAAGGTTGGTGAAGATCCTTTCTCAGTCTGTATGTTGTTGTTTTGTTCTGATGACAGTGTCCTTTGCTTTTCAGCTTCATGTGGTCCCATTTCTGGCATGTTGTTTTAGAGCCTGTGCTTTTCAGGAAGTTATCTCCTGTGCCAAAGAGTTTTTCCCCACTTTTTCTTCTAACAGATTTAGTGTGTCTGATTTTAAGTTGAGGTCTTTGATCCACTTGGACTTTACTTTTGTGCAGGGTGATACATATGGATCTATTTGCATTTTTCAACATGTACACATCCACTTTGGCCAGCATCATTTGTTGAGGATGCTGTCTTTTTCCATTGTTCGATATTTGCTTCTCTGTCAAAAATCAAGTATCCATAGGAATGTGGCTGTATTTCTGGGTCTTCTATTTGATTCCATTGATCCATCATTCTGTTTCTATGCCAGTACCATGTAGTTTTTTTATTACTATTGTTTTGTACTACAGCTTGAGATTAGGGATGGAGATACCTCCAGATGATCTGCTTCTCTCTGCCTTTTGGTTAGTTTGGCTAAGGGTTTGTTTATCTTGTTGATTTTCTCTAAGAACCAGCTCTCGGTCTCATTGATTCTTTGAATTGCTTTCTTTGTGTTTAATTCATAGATTTCAGCTCTGAATTTGATTATTTCCAATATTCCACTCCTTTTGAGTGGGTCTGCTACTTTTCTTTTTTCTATGGCTTTTAAATATGCCATTAAACTGCTTATATGAGATGTCTCCAACTTCTTTCTGGATGCACTTAGTACTATGAACTTCCCTCTTAGCATTGCTTTCATTGTGTCCCATGAATTTGGGTATGTTGTGCCTTCTATTCCATGATATTTTAGGATGTCTCTAATTTCCTTTTTTCATTTCTTACTTGACCAAGTTGTCATTGATTAAAGTTTTGTTTAGGTTGCATATGTATGTAGGCTTTTGTTATTTCTGTCATTGTTGAAGTCTCACTATAGGTCTGATATGATACAAAGTATTTTTTCAATCTTCTTGTATCTGTTGAGGTTTGCTATGTGTACGAATATGTGGTCCATTTTTGAGAAGGTTCCATGAGGTGCTGAAAATAAAGAATACTTTTTTGAATTTGGGTGAAAACTTCTGTAGACATCTATTGGTGCATTTGATTTAGCACCTCTGTGAGTTTCATTGTTTCCTTACTTAGCTTCTCTCTATGTGATCTGTCCCTTCATGACAGTAGAGTGTTGAAGTCTCCCACTATTAAAGTGTTGCTAAGGATGTATGATTTAAGTTTTAATAATGTTTCATTTACAAATGTACTTGCTCTTGTATTTGGGGCATAGAGGTTCAGGATTGTGATGTACTCCTGGTGGATTTTTCTTTTGATGAGGAGGAAGTGCGCTCTTCATCTTTTTTGATTCATCTTGGTTGAAATTTTATTTTATTAGATGTTAGAAAAGCTACCCCAGCTTGTTTTCTGTGTCTGTTTGCTTGAAAAACATTTTTGTAACCCTTTTACTCTGAGGTAGTGTTTATCTTTTTTTTTTTTTTGCAGATGTGTGTTTCTTGGATGAAGCAGAAGGTCAGATCCTGTTTCTGCAACCCTCTAGTTAGTCTGTGTCTTTTGGTTAGAGTCAAAGCCATTGATAATAACTGATAACAGTGTCCAATGAGTGTTATTTTCTTTTATTGTGGAGTTGTTGGTGCCACTGTGTTTCAGCGCTTGTTTTGTTTTAAAATTTTTGGCGTGTGTGAAGATATCTATATCCTGTGTTATCTTGGGTGTAGTTGTTTTGTTGGATTGGAGTTTTCCTTCTAGTATCTTCTGTAGAGCTAGTTTGCTGTGTAGATATTGTTTAAGTTTAGTTTTGTCATGGAATATTTTGTTTTCTCCATTTATGTTGCTTTTAATCTTGGCTGGGTATAGTGGTCTGGGTTGGCATCTATGATCCCTTTTCACTCAGGCCCTTCTGGATTTCATAGTTTTTGTAGTGAAGTCTGATGTGATTCTGATAGGTCTACATTTATATGTTACTTGGCCTTTTCCCCTTGCTGCTTTTAATATTTTTTCTTTGTTTTGTACATTTACTTTTTTGACTCTGATGTGACGTGGGGAGTTTCTTTTCTGGTTTAGTATATTTGGTGTTCTTTAGGTCTCTTGTATGTTTATGGACATCTCTTTCTTTAAGTTGGGAAAAATTTCTTCTATGATTTTCTTGAAAATATGTTCTGGACCTTGGAGCCTAGAATCTTCTTTTTCATGTATTCCAATTATTCCTAGATTTCACCTTTTAATGGTGTCCTTGATTTCTTGAATATTTTTTTTGTTTGTTTGGAGCTCTTCTGATTTTACTTTTTCTTTGAGACATGTATCAAGTTCTACATGTGTATCTTCAGCTCCTGAGATTCTCTCTTCCATCTCTTGTATTCTGTTGGTGATGCCTACCTTTGTGGTTCCTGATCTTTTCTTTAAGTTCTCCAGCTCTAGGATTTTCTCTGTTTGTATTTCTTTATTGATTCTAATTCTGTTCTCATGTCTTGCACCATTTCTTTCATCTGTTTGAGTGTGTATCTTGTCTTTCCATGATGGCCTCCATTTTTTTGGTTCATTTCTTCTCTATACCCACTAATTGTACTTCTACCTATGCCTCTATTTGTTTGGCTGTATTTGCCTGTATTTCTTTGATAGCTTTGTTCATTTCCTCTTTATGTGCCTCTAATATTTTGATAAGTCAAGAATTAATATCATTTTCCTGTCTTCCAGTATTTCTAAGGAATTTCCATATCAATTGATTTTGGGGGTTGCAGGTGAAGCTAAGATGTCTTGATTTTTGTTGGATATGTTCTTACTCTACCTCTAACCATCTGCTTATCTGTAATCTCTGCTGTTTTTTTTTCCTGGAGTCTGTACTTGAGATTGGGTCCATCTTTCTCTGGTGTCTGGAGGTTGAGAGAGGTCTACAGGTTTGAGAGTCGATGTTGGTGTTTCTACTATAGCTAAGGAAGGAAGGCTGCAGGCACAGTTGCACCAGTGCAGGTCAGCAAGAGCTGGTGAGCAAGTATGAACATTTGGGAGGCAGTGTGCCTTGAGGGACAGGGTGCTAGAGCTTTTATATGCCTAGAAGGGTGGAGCTTAAGTGTGGGAGTGGTTGTGGGTGCTGGTGCTGCTTGTGGGTGCAATGCACATGTGCAGGTGGCCTGAATACCTCAGTGGCCTACAGACCTGTAGTACTGTCCTCCTGGCATTCAGATCTCTCTGGGCATCAGGGATTGTTTGTCTGGTCTTTACTGGTAAACTCACAGAACAGTGGCTTCAATGTTGAGAATGATGTCCCAAGGATCCCTATGCTCCCCACAGTGGGAGTGTGGGTAGGAGGGATCTGATGTCTGGCTGCTAGAACAGAGGGACCCTGGATATGGGGCTCTGCAAGCACTCACTTAAGGTACACTCACTTGATAGCAGGCTTAATCAGAAAGCACCAGGATTCCCCCTGTTCTCTACTATCACATTTGGGCCTACAGGGGCAATTGAGAGTGTAGGAGATTCTTCAGCTCAGTTGTGTCCACTATTTGTCCACTAGGCAGGGAGACCTTTACTTGGGGTAGCCGCTTCTTTTATCTCAGCCACTAAGCATAGAGGCTCCTCATAGGGCTAACAGCTACCCAGCCACCACTGCAGACCTGAGAAGATGGTACTGCAGCCTGCTGAGAGGCCCTGGGAAGCCTGTACAGATGCTTTCATACCTGGGAGGCCTCCACGGTCTCAGTGACTGAGCAGGGAGGTTTGTACCTGGAACAATCAGTAGAGCTGTGAGGCCCATGCTTGGAGCAGCAAGCAAGGCAAGCCACCTCCTCTGAGGAGGGAGGCCACTGCTTGAGGCAAAGGGAAGTACATGGGGATTGAATATCCACCTATCTCAGTTCTTGGAGATATCTGTAGGTGACCTGGATCCATATGGTCTCAGCTCATGGGTTGTCTCTTCTTGCCCAGGAGGACTCAGTGTCAATATTCTGGCTTTAGCTTCCCCTCCACTTATCAATTTCAGAGTTTCAGATCTTGTGTTCTTCAGATATGGTGTGGGTTGTTTGCCGCCATCTTGGACCTCCTCCCCTAGTTGGCTATTTTCTACTATTAGACATTTAATTGATAACTTTTATCATGGCTATGACAAGTTATAAGACAAAAACAACTTAAGTAAAGAAAAGTTTCTCTTTTTTCTTGCAGATTGAAGGAATGAATCACAGCATGGAAGGCAAAGGCAACTTGGATAAGTGAAAGGACGCAGAGATCAATAAAAGTTTTTACTTCAGCTTAAGTTTTTCTCTTTATTTATTCCAGAATCTCAGTCCTTAGGAGTATGGTTTTAGGATAAGATTTTATCACCTCCATAATGCATCCTAGAAAGTTTCTTCAACAAGCCCAGAATTTATTTCCATGTTGATACTCATGATAATGATTAACTATCTCAGTTATCTCATTCAGTGATGTGAACATACAACAGTGTCCAGTACTAAATCATGCTTTAATACTCAAGTCATGGGCACACTGACTGGTATCCACTGTCCTCTTTCACTGAAGCCCTGAATTCTGTGTTGATACAAAATTTTCTATATACCTTAGAATTATGATTTTGATAAGATACATTTCTAAACAGAGTGGGTAAAAATAACCTCAATATCTTCTGACATTAACTTTATAATTTTATTTTTACTTTCTTGGAGTGTGTATTATGTATATGCTTCTGAAATGACCCAGCACATTGCTAAGTCTTCTGAAGTTTATCATAATAAATAAAATATGTTACCCAAAACCATTAATTACACTTGAACAATGTAAATGAATTAATGCCCACACTTCTAGCAATTATAAATGATTCTCCAAAAAATTACCATAAATTTATAGCAATATTTGAAAAATTAGCAGTGATAAAAAGCACAAATAAAAAATAATCACAAACTTATAAAGTTAATAAGTGACATATCTTTTCCAACATCTTCTGCCTATGAATTATCTCTACTTTCTTTACATTGATCAATTGTAAGATAGTACAAATGCATATCAGAAAAAGCTATATTTTTAAAGAATATTTACAAGATAAAGTGTTTAGGGGCTGTGAGAGATCTCTGTCAGGTTGAGAGAAAAACAAATATAAATATCCATCCTTAGTTAAGAACCTCTTTAATTATATACTTCTGCAAAGGTATTGAACATGTTAATCCATATTTTCCAACTAGGGTTATAAATTAACATTTCATGAAAGTTTAAATGTTAATAAAATATTTATTGACCTCTTTAGTTTCTAAGTTTGTGTCACCCTAGAATTTACTCAAAATTCTATATGCATAGCCAAATGTAAAAGTAACCTAAATTAACAATTTGTTAGAAGTATGATACCTGCTGAGTTTTACAAATTTTTTTGGACCTGATGTGCAATGTAGTCCAACACAATTGTCAAAGTATATTTTGCATTACATTTACTCTATCAAGAAGCAATAATTATAATTCAATAAAACATTGTAGTTCAATAAAATTTTAGTGAAATAACTTAGCTTAGGCTTTCATTTAATTCTTAATAAATATAAAAGAAAAATAGAAGATAATCTTTTGTCCCAAGTCATATCTAAGAACTAGTAACTTGGGCTCTGTTTCAGAGGAAGAAAGTGGAACATAAAAGCTATGCATATTCTGAGTCCTAAGGGAAAGCAAAGAGTAAGCTTCATTTTAAATTTCTTTTATTTTCCTCCTCCTTCGGCTTTACTACAATACTTTTAACAGCTCACCCTATTTTTTCCATTTGTGAACAAGTACTACAGTGTGGTAAAATATTCCTTTGTAGAGTGGTATGAAAGAAACAGAGGTGCTATGGGAAAAAAGCAAGTTAAAGAAACCTCTTCTTCACAATAACATTCATTCCGTAGACTTTTTAAAGAAGAGAATAATGTTAGGTATTAGCAAGCAATGGAGAAACACAAATTGTTTTCTAAACCCTATCTTTAAACTTCTATTAAACCCTTTGATCTCCCTGGATGCAGCTTCAGATAGAGAAGTGGACAATAAAAAGAGGAACTAAAAAGGAAGAAGAACCTGAGGATGTATAAATGGTATTCAAGGCCCTTTAAGGGAAATCAGAGGACAAAATTGGTGTTTAGCAGATTGAAGTGGTATGGAGGTGATAAGCAAATTTATTAAGTGGAACACCTGTCTATCTTTAATATGTAAATGTATATTATGACTCTTCATCAAAGACAAGTTAACAATACATTCATGTATGGAACTCATTTGTCCTTTTCATTGTGATCCTTAGCTTTTTGGGGGTAAACATTCTCACCAGACCTAAGGAATTTGTTTAAAGTCATATGAAAAATGTTTTTAGGTGGTTATAAAAGTACTCTTGGCTCTTCAGACTTGCCAATTCCAGTATGACCAAGAAAAATTCTTGATATATATATATATATATATATATATATATATATATATATATATATATGTCATGCTGATAACAATCTTATTTTGTGTATGCTGTTATCTAAAACATATCAGAATCAGTGTAAAAATGGTGAAGACTAAATTTTGTGCATGGAAATAGATTAAAGGATTATTCATAAGTGACATAATAAGGGATTCCATTGTTTCTATTCTTGAACTAGTGTATAGTGTTTTGTCTAAAAGTTGTGATAAACATAACATAATTTTAAAATGCTCCTTTGTGAGGTATATTTTTTACAGCATGGAATGAAAGGAACAGGAGCATATTTGCTATATATTACATGAGTCAACAAAGATGGAACCTAATTTATGATTCTGTATAATCCTAGTTGTATGGAATTTACCAAGTTACTTAGATTCTCTGAATTATATTGTCAATAAATATATAATAGGTAGTAAAGATAGTCTGAGAATTGTTGAGAGGAATAAATGAGATAATGAGCATGAAACATTTGATGGAGAAACTAGCAAAAATATTTTAATATCCCTTAACACTACCAAAAATAACACTTTATAAGAAATGCAAAAGAATCCCTGAATGAAAAGAATAATAGACAGCTGTATTACTCATTCATTATCTCTTTATTAAATTCATTTATTTATATACCAATATTTATAAAGAAACTTTATTTCAGAAATTCTTAAGTTATTCTTTAAAAATCCTTTCTAGTCCATGTTTTATAGATGTGGTTAATGGATTATATAATGCTAAGTATTATCAAAGGGAAAAGAAATCAGTAGCTTTAATTTATTCTAGAAATGAGTGTCCAGAGAAACATAAAGTATAATGTGTATCTTCTTTGAGAAGTTTCTCAACCATTAAGTATAGTCCAAAATTAATAGAAACGATAATGATTAGGTGTATGTATATGAGTGTGTGTGTGCATATGTATGTGTAAAACTAATTCCTGCAGCTGACTTGTTGAAAAACAAATAATACTAATATATATATGTGTGTGTGTGTGTGTGTGTGTGTGTATATATATAT